TGTCTATATCTGGGGTGTTTCCTAACTCAGTCTATTTGAGCATATTAAGTACTGATAATGAAATTCATTTCGTGAGCTATTTCATGAACTTACGAGAGTTGACACTATGACCACCCTGCTTACCCTGCTTACGTGGAATGTCACGAAGCAAAATGGACTCTCCTGAAAGTAATCCATAGCAGGTGTAGTTCAAAGGCGCAGTTCGGCCACGGGGTGGGGCGTAAATGCTTGTGGAACCGGAACACGCACGTAAGCAGGGTAAGCAGGGTGGTCATAGTGTCAACTCTCGTAAGTTCATGAAATAGCTCACGAAATGAATTTCATTATCAGTACTTAATATGCTCAAATAGACTGAGTTAGGAAACACCCCAGATATAGACATACAAAGCCCTGCAATAATAACTCTCATTGAAAGTCAAACAATAAAGTTACGTGCGCAATAAGTTTTTCATGGGACACTTTTTGGCAATAGCTTGCTACAAAAGAAAAGATGATTCTTCATCCTTTGCCATTTCCACACCGCTTCGATGAAGTGGTTATCCAACAGTTTCTCACTTGGACCATTCTTTTTCGTGACCGATCACTTGATGTGCGACCACAATCATCCGATAGTTTGTGTATGAACTCCAGTGAAGGATCTAAAAAGTTGAGCGCATGATTAACAGTATTGTACGAAACCAATGGCCGATGTTTCCGCACCCGCGCCATGAATCTATGTGGCGGTTTGTGTGGCGGGAGTGTAAATGGCCGGTGTAGAAGGCGAGGTGAGAGAAGTGAAGTGAATTGTTTATTATGAACAACCGCCCCCTTTTATAGGGCAGACAACACAACAACCATTTATCACTGTATTTGTTGATCATAATCTTCTTTGGAATAACACGGTCGGTTCGGTAAGGTTCATAGAGAGAGATTCTCTATACTCCGGGGCGGGCGTTCTTGCAGGTTGTCGTCTGATTCGTCTCGTGATGCTTTTGCTGATGGTGATTTCGCTCTGTGCTGTTGATTATTGTTCCTTCTTGCAATCGGTGGTTCTTTCTTCGGTGGTTCAGTGATTTCAATGTCTTCTCTGTCTTCTGATTGTTGATTTTGCTTACAGTGAGTGTTCTGACGCGGTCTTGGATTGTAGTGCTCGTCTTGCTTTCGGTGGCTTTTGAGGCTGGTTGTTTCCTCGTGGTCGTTTCCAGTTGTTGTTGTTTCTGGAGCAGCTTCTTGGAGGTGTATCAACTGATGACTACGGATGATCACTTGCAGTGCCAATTTTCTTTCGACAGCTGTGAGATACCGCTTGTATGTGATTTTCTGCACTTCTGGAGTTGTGTCATCGCTTCTTATGTTCCATGTGATCCCGAGGATTTCTACTTCTTCAGATTGGCACAGGTCCGCCGGTGTGATTTCGTTCTTCAAAGGAGTGTTGTTTGTTCGAAGTTGTCTTGAGTTTATATTGAGCTCGGTGAAGATTCTCTTTGTCTTGTAGAACTTCGAGGCTTCATTCGTTGAAGATGCTGTCGATATGAGGTTGTCGACGTGGATATTGTCCTCTATGTTCTTTGCTAGTTCTTGATCTTCTACCATCGTCTGTAGTTGATGACTGATTGTTCCAGCGAGCAGGAACGGAGAGCAGTTCAGTCCAAACGTGACGTGAGTGAATCGATATATGACGATCTGTTCTTGAGTGGGTGGGTCATGGATGTTCTGAATCCACATAGATCTGGTTGCACTTCTATCCAGTGGGTGTAGGCAAACTTGCAGGGAGGTTTCTTCTAAGTCGGTAATGATTGCTGTCTGTCCTGTTCTGAAACGAAGTGAGATGTCGCATTTCTTCAGAAGGGTAACTGGACCTTGATTCAAGTCGTCGTTGAGCGGAGAATTCTCAAGGGGTGCAGATGGATACAATACGATTCTACGTTTGGAAGTCGTTTTCTGAGGAGTAATGACTGCATGATGCGCTCAACGACG